TCTTGTACCTGAACAGAACACCTCCAAGCAGAATTTCTTTTCAGTAAGCCTTGATCATCTGACAGACTACAGGACAGCTACGCTGTGCAACTGAAAAACCTGGACTGTTTTTCTATGGACAAACGTTCACTGAATCCATCAAAGCTTCAGGCAACGGTGGATGTGTGTATTCATATGCTTTTCTAAATCTGTTCCAAGCTGATGAATAGCCTAAATGGATTTTAAATTTCATAGCAAGCTTAGGCTACCACTTTGCATCTGCACTGGCTGCCATTCAGCCCAAGAATAATTTAATGCTTTACAGTGTGCTTCTGCTCAAAAGATAAAACTGTGCAGGCCTTCAGAAAAGACAAAGCATTTACATTTTTTAACGAGTGCACTTTTGATTCCTTTGCTGTGATCGCAGGATTAGCATTTTCAAAGTTCACGCCTTAAAGGGCCATAGGACTACAAAGTGCTTCACCGCTGCACTAAAATCAGCCCTCCAGAGCAATCGGATGACAGGAAGAGCACACAGATGACCTGAAGATATTTCCATATGTCACATCATCAGTTTCAGGATATATCAGACACTTTAAAGCTAAACAATAACACTAATTTGAGGGTAAGTGTTTACAGATCAGCTTCGTTAGTGACCTCATTTAATTTGCTTGTAAGCACAATTCCTTTATCTAAGAGCAGAGGGCATGAATTACTACCACTGTGAAAATCCCTTTGTCAGCTGCTGCCAGTAACTAGCTGTGTTTTGGGGTCAATTTCATCTATATTTAGAGGATGAAGCTTCTATAAAGCATAATTATTTCTTGGTGTGGCTTGTATGATAAAGGCACTTATCAGTGAACTGTGGCTTCTTGGCAAAAATGCTGGCACAGGGTAAAGAGCTAAGATGTGGGTCTGGGCTGTATACCCTCGTGCCAGCCAGGGCTGTTTCAATCAGCATCACTGGTACTTGAACAGGGCAAGCTGGGGATCAGGCCATGTCCAAGTCCCACAATTCAACCTGCCTCCAACATTATTTTTTTAAAAAAAATTTCAAAACAAACATAGAAATGATTCCAGAAATTCAAACATCTCACATGGAGCAGATGAAAAAGGAGTGTTTGATATGTACACACCAAAAAAGCAAAGAAGGGCATGGAAAAATGCCACATCCCCCAGCGTGCAACAGACTGCACAAAACCTAACGGCACCATATGAAGATCTTCCTACATCTTATTCTCTACTCCTTTTGCTGCTGCTTCTGGCTGCCAGCCTTAGCCAAGTATTCAGGTGACTGTTTTTTCTTGGCTTGGCCACATGTACTGCATCTCTTACTACATCTCTTAGCGTCAGCCTCTTGGAGAACTGCCTTTTTGCCCCTTCCTCTGAAGGGATGGCTGCACCTGGACCCAACACTTGGGGTCTATGTTCAGAGAGGTTCTGCTACCTCTACCAGCTGATCTCATTTTCAGTGGCACCATCTGTCTGCCTCCCTCCTTGATCACTTTTAGCCCTAGGGCATTGCTTTCTTTGGTCACACAGAGTAACACAGCATCCTCTCTTGGCTAGAGGCTGAGTTCTGACTCAATCCTTTCCACTCATATTACACTATGCAATTGAGAGAAGTGGAGAGATACACAGTAATAATCACAGCAGGTTCATAATGACATATCAGCACCAGAAAGGCTCTGAATCAGGTGTCAGTGCCAAGCATTTGTAGCAGATTTACTACATTGCTATGCTGTAAGCTAGATTTGGGTCTAAAAAATAATAGTCGAAACAGTGACTTGCAGGAAGCATGATCATTATTTCTGTACACATGCATGCACACACATCAAAGTCTCTGGAAATGCAGCATATAATTGATTAAACTCAATTTTGGTTAAATAGCTCCTCTTGAAACGGTGTAGTATCAAAAAGCTCTGCAGATTTCAAAAAGGGCTATACAGGCAGACAAGCATTTCCATAGTTTTTTCCATTACATGTATTGAATCTACCTTACTGGCCAGGTTGTTATACTATTCTAAACAAACAAACAAAAGGCATTTTCCTATTAAACCTCAGAACTAATGAAAAATTTTCTGTGTACTTACGCTTCTATGCAACATCCCACTGCTATAATCTTTCCTGTTTAGTCGTAACAATTGTGTGCAACTGCCAACCCACCTGTAGACTGCAAAATAAATTGCTGCAGCTTAGCACTGAACTGCCTGGATGTATAAGGCAGCATTCAGATAGTATGAGGCAAATCAGGGCACTGATTTCAGTGATTGGACTTCCACCTCTTGCGCTTGTCAGAAGCCGTGTCCATAGTGGAGTAGATGTACGGAATGGCTCAGACACAGAGGTGACAGAGGAACAGTAAGAACATCAACACCTCTGGGAAGCTCATGTTTGCAAACAAAAAAGTATTACCTGTTGGACTGGTAAAGCTGACTTTTGCTCCCCTTGAGACCTTTAGCTTTTGCAACACACAGGAATTACACTACACTGTTTCAGTGTTTCAAGACAAGGCAAATATTGGTATGTCTCACTTGCCAGCACTCCCAGGGAGAGCTTTGCCAAAGTGCAAGGTCCTTCCTACTGCATTGTCACACTATCAGTTCTTGATGAATTAAGAATGAACTGTGCAGCTTCATATGGGTACTAAACTGTTGATGCCAAAAGGCTTGTTGTGCCAAATTTCAAAGTACAGTGACAATCAATGGTAAAACTACCATCTCTGCTAAACAACGCCTGAAAATCCAATTAAGGGTCTCTAAGATGGGAAGAGCCAGAGTAAGAAGGAACAGGCACAGTCCACTTTCACAAAAAGTTATATATAACGAGAAGTTATATGATATTTATTTCTAAACCCTTTCTGTGAATGCACATTTTCTGATGCTGAATGCAAAACACAATCCCACATATCACTCTGTGGTAACAACACCTTCAGCTTAGTCAATACTCTGTGCACTGGACAGTTGTCCTGCTCATTATTTAAGATACGCAGTAATCTTGTCTTGCTGCTCCAAAGGGAAAGTTGCCTGTTCCCATAAAAATCATAAATTAAGTGCAGCCACTGTTGCCTCTGCTGGAGATAGGCATGACGAACTTCCTATATCCTGAAGTACCCAGAATAGAAAAATGAGACTTGAGCTTGTCACAGCCATAACTACTCAGTCTCTCATTAAAAGTCACTATTACCAGCAACATCAACTGTGGCAATGAAGGGTGGAGGTTTATACATCCCATGAAAAATACTGCTCAACCATCACAGTTTTGCGTGCATAAAGGCTTTAAGCAATTGTACTTGCATAAGCAAAAAGGTGTCAGACCTCCAGCTAATTAGAAATCTTATTCGTAATGCGGAAGTAGGTAGGGTATGTATTGTAATGTTGTCTTGGACTGAAGATACATTTTCCCTAATGGCATAATAAAGCAATTGTGCTTTTGATTCATCCATCAGCTATACTGAAGTGTGACTAGAACGGGTAACGCATCACACTTCCCTTACGAGATCAGGGCTTGTAATAGCAAACATAGTCATGCCCAGACAAGAATGCATTTTATGGCACTAACAATAATTCAGTGTTGAAGTGACAATAAAATAATGTTTAACCACATATCCAATACATGTTACAGGACGCACGGCTATGCCTATCTTACAGAGAACATTACGTCAGGTAGCTTATGGTATAAAAGAACATACTTGAGTGATGTTTTTGGAGCAATTTTCCCCTCAAAGATAAGATCTCAGGCATCTGTCATCTATCTTGCTCCTACCAAGCTAAGGAGGCTGACAATGTGAAAGAGGAAACCTACTGTAGCTTCTGTTTCATTTGACTTGTAAGGAGAGTCTGCAAAACACCAGAGAGTTCTAATGTTTCAGGAGTGATTATCATTGACAGACAGGCATAAGAAGCATCTTATACTGGTCACATTGTCAAATATCCTAGTTTTGAAATGAAATAAATCCCAGTATAGTCAAATTTATCAAAGACTGAGTTATGTCAAGCAACATACCTTTGAGATGTTACTGGAACGGCTCACGGAATGCCCCAAAGCCTTCTCATTCTGAAAGAAGGAGAACAGGATCACTGCAGCAACAAATCACACAGTTATGAGGATATTTTAAAGCTGGTGCTAGAAACCAAATTCCATGGAGAAAGTGTTACAGCTGTGGCTTTTAAGGATGTTGCTTCTATTGACAACAGCCTGATTTAGGATAACCACTAACAGTGATGCTCTGTTTGCTTAACAAGGTATTACCTTGCAGAAAATCACATAGTTAAGAGTAGAAACTGAAAAATACTAGAATGACTTCTCTCTGAATACTGTAAAACCCTTTTCTCAGATGGCATCTATTTTGGAAAGGATATTTCTCAGCCTGCTTCCTCTACATCTAGAGGCAAACATCCAATCACTAAAAACAAAGGCTATTCCTGAAAGAAGAACAAAAGTATCACAGCGATGTCTGGACACAATTGTGAATAACCATGTGCATGTCATTTCAGAAAGCAAAGCAGAAGTGCAGAAGAACTTCATATTTACCGCAGGGCTCAGAATTAAACTGGAAATATCATACAAGATGGAAATGCAGAGGCTGCAATTCTCAAAACAGTGTTGACTATCTGTTACTCACTTTTCAGTGTCCAGACCCTGACTGATAAGGATGACAATCTTGTCTTCTACCAAAATAAACTGTAGGTTTCACAAACACATTTCTTCCTTGAAGGTTTCCTCGTTTCTGAACACCAGTTTACCATAAGTGTAACTGAACATGATTGCTCCACTGGGAAGAGGCTAGAAATTCCTCTTCAAAAACTTCTCTGAATAAAACCTAACAGGAAATACTTTTTTCTAAACAAATATTGCAAACAGGGCAAGTTATAACATTTGGTTACAGATCAATATCCATGTTCCTCTAAGTCTGTGGTGCTGGGATGCAAACTGGTTTAAGATTTAAAACCTCTGAAAAAGGGGTAAATTTACTACTTTGTCCTATGGGTTCTATGCCGAGTAAGAGTTCCTAGAAGTGTATCTTTTCATCTAGGATTTTTAGGAATCAAACTCTTTCACCTTGATTCCTAAAAAGAATTTAACCTAATGGAGATATTTTGATAGCACTCTCTTTCAGTTCTCATTGGTACTGAGTGATGAGACAGAGCTTGAGATCTTAAGTCCTGCATAAAACAAAACAACCCCAAACTGCTGTTACTCCTAGATCAGCTTAGATACAGCACAGTCCTTTCAGACCTTCTGCCTATGGTTTGTTACAATTCAAGTGACCTTCAATGACTAAAGCCCACATCAAGTCAGCCTGGCTGGCTGGGCACCCAGATGCTACACCAACACCTTGAGATCCCCCCTGTGCTCTTCCTACAACACATCCCCAGAGCAACATCAAAGCTTTGTGTTTACATTAAGAGTAGGCAGGGCAAAAGCTTCAGCAGGTTTTCCTTTCCCTACAACACTGGCTGCCTCTCAGCGCGGTCCAGGGCACTGCCTCGGTAGATATAAATTGTACTTCCTCCCTTAAACACGTGAGGAAGCCTATACAGTGTTCTGAAATCCTCTGCATGTGGGAGTCTGAGTGCTCAGCAGGCAGTAAGATACTGTTTCAGAAGAACCGAGAAGCCACCAGGAAACTCCAGTTTTGACCGATGGCCAAACTAAAAATCAGCAAGGATCAGTTTAAGGTCTGGAATAGTTGTGGCCTAAATTATCATTGACTTGAATGCCACATTTGCAAACTGCAAAGCTGGGTATGATTTTCGAGATGACTATGAGCTAAAAGTAATTAATAAGTAGTAATACAGCTAAAAGTATTCCTGAAACAAACACATAGACACTCCCAAAAATATGGACATGATGCTTATATGAAGACTAACATTGGATGGAACTACTGCCAGCACCAGCACGGCTCAACCATACAGGAAAGACTAGGCTGGTTTCATCAAAGGCAGTGTAACCATAGCAACAGGGGGGAAAAAAAAGTTCATTGAAGCTATAGAAGAGGGGAAGAAGAAAAGAGGGGGCAGGGACAGTTCTCAAGCTATGAAGAAAAGAAACCAACACAAGCTGGCAAGCACAAAGACTTGTCATTGCATATGCGTGAGGTGTGGGGGAAAGCAGGTTGTGCTTGGCCTTCGAGGGGCCCGTGGGAGATAAACAAAGCAAAGCTACATGGGACAAGGGAAAACGATAGTGCAGAGTGCGACCAGAGTGCGACCAGTGTGGCCAAGAAGACTGCCTGAAGTAACACAAACAGTTCCACAGAGGTGACAGTCTCAAATCCAGCCCCAGGTGTCCAAGACTTCTGGGTGAAATTCCTAAAGACAAAATTAAGCAGATCAGAAGTTTCTTCACCTTAACTCAATGCCCCCCCAAATACTGCTGTCTAGCTGAAGAAGATGCCTGCAAGGGAGGATGACTGAGCTTACACAGGCATCTGTGTTGAAAAGGATATGCTGAAATTCAGGAAGCATGAATAGGCTGCAGTACAAGATCTGTATCTGCACAACATGGCAAATGATGCAGAGCAAACTGCCGTGCCACTGAAACTAGTCTTTCTGCCTTTGCTCCCAGAACTGATTTTATCTGATGGATGTCAGGAGCCTTTAAGAGACAGATGCTCTTATTATCTTTACTGATCTACTGTTGAAAATATACCTATTGGAGGTTTCGGTCAGTAAATGACTGTGAGCGGCTGGTTTTGTTACTGCAAGAATGATTTTTAAACAAAAAAGCAGCCTGGAAAAATACTCCCTTAAGTGTTACGGAGTGCATGCACACATATACATATTGGTGATATTTCTAAAGGACTCGAAGTCACCTAAGAGCTCTTTCATATCTCACTTTCTTTACCACACAAGACTGGCACATCTCATAAAGTCAACAGGAAATTCACTACAGCCTTAGCCCAGGTTGGCCAAAATCTGGCAACTTAAACCAGCTGGGAGGAGAAGCACCAACTCAGCCATATCTTCAAAGAGTGACAACTGACCCAACAGCCAGTACCAGATCCAACACAGACTTGAAAAAATACACACATTTTCCAGAGTGTTTAAGCTTGTCAACTACTAAGTAGCCAGATATCGCCCAGATAAAATTACTTCAGCCTTTGGATACCAAATGACCCTTTGTTAGCTGGTCTTCTAATCAGAGACATTCTTGAAATAGCTGCTCTAAGGCTCACAGTTTACATATACACAGACTTTAAAATGTGTTGGGCTGAAAGCTAATAAACAACTGAGCTTCACTATGCAACAGCAATTTCCAGTTCACTATGACCACTCAAAGTAGCATCCCTACTGAAGAAACATACAGTGCTTTCTTGCCAGTTTCTGCTAATGAACCCCCAAAATATTATTAAATAATTACAGCAACAGAAACACCTCTAAGTAATACAGTTAGTGAAGTCTAGCCATGCTGCTTAATTGTCTTTAACAAATAAAATAACGAATATCTATCCTTCAGAAAAAAAACATGGAAGCCATTAAATAGAGCCAGTATTTGCTGGTGTCTCCCATGCTGTGACACATGAAAGATGCCCTATGTTTTCAAGCCATTAAGATAAAAGAGCTGTAAAGCCATGGAAGGAGCTCCTGGAATAGGTAGATTTTAATGGCAGGCACAATTACTAAGTGAGGAGTAGAAACATTAAATTGATGAAAATTCATTTTAAAGGCAAACAAAAAAAAAAAGCTCACTTTTCACATTATCCATCACTGGTACATTCATCCTGGGATCTTTTTCCAATTCAAAACCTGCCTGGACGTGTTCCTGTGTGACCTACTGTAGGTGATCCTGCTCTGGCAGGGGAGCTGGACTAGATGACCTTTTGAGGTCCCTTCCAATCCCTGACATTCTGTGATTCTGTGATTCACAAATTAACACTGACATGGGAGTGGCAAGGCTAAGCTTCTATTATGGTACTATCATTACCCAACAAATAAAGGTCTACAGAGACTATTTCCAGTATGTTCTCATTACACAGTAAGGCATATTCTAGTCTGGTAATTAGAGCTCCAAACAAGCTCTCCTTCCCTCTTGCAAGTGTCAGACTCTGCACTTGAACGAAAGTTCAAGTTAATTGCAACATCTGTCAGCATGGACCATACAATTATCACCAGTTAAAGCAAGTGTCACTACTTCAGCGTATCAGTCTTTCTGTACGCAATAATGGGAATTCTGCCTTTCAAAATCTTCCTACTCAGCTAGAACCACCTGGCAGGCACTTAAAAAAAATCTAGACAGGAAAAAAATTACAACTGTAACTTGTCACTTCTCCTGAGCCACTCACTGTCAACTGCTGCTCTGAGGTCTCCATCAGAATCTGGCTCTGTGAGCGACAGAGTTGCCTCCTTCCTGCATAAGTTGCTTCAGTTCACGTCTGCCTTCCTGCAAGGCTCTCCACCCTGCCTTCTCCACATTGCTGGCTTATTTTCCTGTCTGCTACCATTCCTTGGTTACTTTTGCACAGTACTTCTCCCTTCTCAGGTCAAAGACCTAAAAGCTGACACTTCCCCCCATTCTCCCTTTTACCTCAGTCCTCCATATTCAGCATTTCTATTTCACCCTTGCTTTGATACAATTTCCACTAAGCACAGCAGCTACATAACTTAGACAGCCAGAAGCTATGTGAACCCCAAAACAGTTCCTATCACCTGAGGCAGAAGGAGGGCCCCCACTCACTGATAACAATTTAGGCAGCCATAGCTGCTCTTAAGCACTTACAGGACCATTGCATCACGCTGACCCTTCTCCAGACTCAGCTGCACACTTCATGCAGCCTCAGCAAGGGGGTACTCTATAGAAATACAACTTGGATATCCTTGTCAGGATGGAAGGCGAAAAACATCTTGGTAAAATGGTTTGGATTTTGTGTTTCAGACATTTGGTTTTCAGTCATTGAGGCAGGCAAACAGAAGACAACAGAGCAAGCAGTCTCACAGCTTGTGTAGCTGCCTTCTGGCTACGCACCCATGCTTAGTCCTAAGTATGGCTAATACTAAACTCATCTCTATCTCTGCTCAGAGATCTGGAGATTAAACGACAAGCCACTTCCCAAT